CCAAGATAAGAACTTATGGCCCCACCTTCTAGAATATGGTGGGCCCACGTGCACAATGGCCCGCATAAAATTTTATATACCCTAAAAATAATAAAATAAATTTTAGAATGTTATTTGAATATTTAAATCATTAAAATCAATATCTTTAATTTTATAAATCTAAATATTATAAATAAAATATCCAGGGATTTATAAAAATTCAAATAATAATTCTAAAATAATATATACCATAAAAGAAATATAATTAAATTAATTTGATGGGAAAATGATCCATATGGTCAATGAATTAAATCAATAATGGGGCACTCCACCTTCAACTGTGGACTTCTAACCACACTTACTTTATTATGCCGACCGAGCGATGTTTATGACCTACAGTTCAAGCATGGGCTCATTAGTGGGTCACCAAAGTCTGTCTAATAAGCCAAGGGATTGCAATCACAATATGTGGATTTCAGGTTCTCCCCTAGAGACAAGTCAATGTCACTTAGACTTAATGCAACCACAGCTCTATAGCGCATAGGGGTATCTCTTGCACATGCATATGTTAATATATGGATTTCAGGTTCTCCCCTAAAGACGAGTCAATGTCACTTAGACTTGATGCAACTGCAGCTCTACGGCGCATAGGGGTATCTCTTGCACATGCATATGTTTCACCGTAAAAGGTTGCTTGTTTACTTTTTCAAACTGTTTATCAATATGCATGTCGTGTGATGGTACATGGACGAGGCTTTGGCCCCCATCTCCGTAGGCCACCATCACACACAAGGGTCACACAGTCTATCGGCTCTCTCATCCGGGCATACTTTGACATCATCAAAGGATAACCCACTAGAACCCTCCTCTGTTTATTTTCTATACCTAGGCAATATGGTTTTTTCCCAACCCACTGGCCTAGAGCGTCAAGTACAGTCTGGTATCTGCAAACCTCATTTGCATGGTATGGTCTATGAGGAACCGCACTCTCACGAAGTCCATGATCCACTGTATCAAATGTCTCCTCACAATCACTCATAAAGCCTTTAAAGGCCACATAAACCCAACAGTATGGGTCCAAAATCTGGTCGGATCCATTGCCAACCTATAACTATGAGCTTTATTATTATTATTATTATTATTATTATTAATATTACTATTACTATTACTATTACTATTACTATTACTATTACTATTACTATTACTATTACTATTACTATTACTATTACTATTACTATTACTATTACTATTACTATTACTATTACTATTACTATTACTATTACTATTACTATTACCGTGGGTAGATTATGAGTTTCTTTTTTTGCCAATAATATCGTAAATGTTGCCAGTAGTATGATAATATGAACACCTAGCGCGTGTCTAAAGACACCCGATTGCTGTCATATACCCCATTGACTATGGGTATGGGTCGTGTCTAGCTGGACCCGGATCCAGATCTGAATAGTATTCGGGTCCAAAACTTGGATCCATAGCTAGACATGATGTCGTATATACCCGTCAGGTCCCGAGTCCAGGTCCATTGCCACCCCTATTCGTAAGTTTTGGATACGCAAAGTTAGACCAATGTCATGTTGTCTTGAATCGCTAGTTACTGTTGTCTTTTCCTTTTCTTTT